AAGAGAAAGCTGAGCTTTTGATTCAATTGAATTTTATAAACAGACATAACTGCAAGTCTAAGAGCACCTCACTTGTTACACATGATCATCTCTTAGCTTGTGGCACTGGCCAGTCCACCCACTGATGCTCTAGGGCATCTCAATCCCCAATGGCAAATGCTCCTGGTTTTGCTTCAGTAACAGTTTTGTCAGAAGGTGGAAAGCTGTCCCCTTCTACTGTCACTTTGTTTTCCTAAAAATTGTCTTTATTAACTATATTCCAGAAATATTTGTGCTGAGACTGAACTTTTCCACACAGACTAACAGAACCTGGCCGGAAATGGCTTTACAAAGTGCTGAGTAACACTGAAACTCTGGTGTGGGAGCTGCAGATGTGTATGAAATTAAAATAAACCATTCATATTTTCACTAAGATCATGTACTTTTCCTTAGCAGTTGAATGGGCTTAAAAAGGTTTTGATCAGCCATGTATGGAAGCTGAAACACTGCTGAACTATTTGCACTACTTGCAGAAAGCACCAAGGCATGGGGAAAAAACCGTACATGTGTGTCTGTGCATATATAAACATGTTCTCACATATTGCATGGAAATAAGCAACTGTGCACATGGGGGTAAAGTGACCCCGAGGCTCCTAATAAAGGAGAGAAAAGAAGCCCATGTCCCATCAAAGATAGCAGAGTTCACACACACACAGGAAGGCACATAGTTCATGATCCAAATCAACTTGAACATGCAGCTTCAAAAGGTTTGGCTTCACTGGACAACTTCCTGCAAAGTTTCCCAGTCTGGCAGCTGTATGCAAGCCAGAAAACCTGGCTGGCTTGTGGCCATATCCACCACAAATCCAATGGTGCTTGTTCTCCCCTGGCCAGAACCTGGAAACTACATTGCTGGGGGGAGGACTGTGTTTCCCTAGCAGCCAGAGTCATCTGCTGGCATCACAGGGCTCAAGGACCTCTCTGCAAGAGGAATGACACCAAGCTTCTCCCAGCCCCTGCTGACTTGGGACAGACAGATGAAACTCTTAGCTGTGGGCATGCCTCCCTGCAGCTTTGTCACCCATAGGACAAATGGGGCAATTCCTCTCCCAAGTAAAATGGAACATCCTGAAGCACTCATGGGACCGGGCAGACTTCGAGATGCAGCCAGTGAGGAAACCTGTTGAGAAAAACTGTTCATGTGAATGACTTCCCAAGAGGCCCTACAGTACCAGACCCACAAACACCTGGTACCAGGGGGGGTGTCTGCAAGTGTTTGCTCACATCCCCTAAGAGACCTTACAATAACATGCCCCACCCAGGTATTTTTAGAGGGTTCTTAAGGCCCCTCATCACAGCCCAATGCAGCAGTTGCTGCTGCTCACCCATCCACCCAGTATAGCACCCAGAGGCACTGCATCTCTGTCCACCCCATCTCAACTCACCCAGGCACGGCTTGGGGGTTACATCCATCACCTCAGGGGAGAGTGCAAGGACCAATGGCACCTGAGAGAACTGTAAGGACCAATGGCACCTGAGGGAACTGTGGAGACTTGGGAGTGACTCTGAGTACCATGGTCACTTGAGAGGACTCTCAGGACCAATGGTCTATGTGGACCAACATCCCCCTGTCCCCTTGGGTCATTTTCAGAACAGAGATGTGACAATATGAAGGAGGAAGTTGTGAGCAAAAAAAGGAAGTGAAAAAAACCTCAAAAACGTGAGAAGCACATTCAATAGAGAAGTGGAAGGGCTAAAGTGGAAGGGCTAAAGTGGAACTTTAAAGCAGATCCACTGCAACAGTGGGAGACATTTGGAAGAATTTCCGAAGGGGCTGAAGACATTCTGACCATCCACACAAGCCAGGTGCCTGGTCCTTTCCTATGAGCAACTCAGACACCAGTAGTGTCACATGCACCTGCACAGGACAGAGGGCTGTGAATGGCCCTCTCAGCTGCTCAGCAAGAAGTGACCAGCAGTCATCTCAGGGGAGACCATGGGGACAAGTGATCACCTCACCTCACCTCTGCAGGACTGCAGAGACAAAAGCCCCCTTGTCTCTTCCCTCCCTGACTGCCCCATGGATGCACTTTGCCATCCTGACAGCCAAGCACACTGCCCTGGGTCTAGGACTAGTGGGAGGGCTGTGGACCTTGTGGTGGCAGAGCTGGACAATCCCCTGTGTCATGCTGCTGGGGAAGCTGGTGTCATATCTGGGCCTACCAGGCTGCCACAGCATCCCTGCTTCTCTCTGGGACAGTTCCATGGAAGCAAAAGTATTCAGTGTTTGGATGCTACTAAGGTGCACCCCTCAGACTTCCGTTGGTTGTGGTTTTGGTTCTGCCTTCGCCCCCAGTGCAGGCACCATCCAAAAAAGGGGAAGAGAAACTGAGTGTTGAGGGGAGGAGTCAGGGAGGAACAGTCGACTGGGGACATTGTGGGTGAGAGGGTGATTGTCACAGGTCACCCCCTGATCCCTCCAGCACTGAACACCAGTGCCAGTGGGGACACAGCAGGGGAGTGGCTCCCACCGTTTCTGTTCCTATGCACAGGAGGCTCTTGGGGAGGGGAACTGAATTCCACACCAAAGCTGGTGGGAAGGAGAGGGGAGTTGCCAGGCCCATCCCCAGGTGTTTAGAGCAGAGTTGGGGCTCTCCAGCAGTGTGCTACAGCTTGGGACTAGGTGGTAGAGTTTGTCACCTCCTCTCTGGGAGCCCCATCCCCAGAATTACACAAGTGATGCAGAAGCAGCCGGAGATGGAGGTGGCAGGAGTGAGAGGAGGATGACCCAAAGTATTCCTTCTCCCTATGCAGGGGTTGAGAGGACAGCAAAAATCTTTCTCCAGTCAGGTCTGAAATCCAAAAGCCATCATCATCTGCATTGGTGCTGATGCAACCCACAAGAACAGGGATAGGACAATGTAATATTGGTGGAGAGGGAGAGTCAGGAAAACCCAGCTTAGATGTTTAAGTATCTTTTTCCTAGTGCTGTTTCCTGGGACTCTCTTTCCCTGCCTTCTCATTCTATCTGGGCTGTTCCCAGGCCCAGCATGTCACAGCACTTCGTCCTCAACAACTTACTTCAGCTTTTGTCCCTCCCACACATCCCCAGCCTTCAACTTAGGACCTCTGGGCCCCTCCCTGACACACCGATTCTCCAATTGGTGGGGAGCCACCGCAGTGACTGCTGGGCTGGGTAGAACATTTTGATCCTACAGGTTCTTTCTCCTCCCGCAGTTACTGCTGCTGCTGCTTCTTCAGCCTTGCTGCATGCACCATGCAGCCCCCTCACCTCCTCTTCCTCTTCCTCCCGATCCTCCTCCCTGGCATGTGGGCAGACCCAGAGGGTAAGTGGGAGCTCTGGCTCACCTCAACTGTTCTCACCCCCCTGCCCTGTCAGAGGACACCACAAGTTCTGCTCAGGGGAGGCATGGCCAGGCTACTGTGCTGTATGGGGGGGCCGATGATTCCCAACATCAGAGGGCCACCTCTCACCATGCACCACCCAAATATGCTTTGCTCCTGCCCACCCTCTCTGTTCCTGCCTCCAGCTCAGGACTTCTGCCCCACCAGCTCCAACACAGGGCTTTGGGCACACAAGCAGAAGAGACAACAGTGGTCCCCAGCCCGGTCTTGGGTATTGAGTTTTTCCGCAAGATGTCCTCCCCCTGCAGGGAGCCCGGAGGTGCCAGGCAGATCTCAGCTCCAGATGGTGCTGAGGGCCCCTTCCAGCAGCCCCTCGTTCGCTGGGGAGCTGCA